CCTCTCCTCCCTGCCTCTCCTGCTGTGGCACCATGGCCGGGGAGACTGCACCCACTTGTGCTCTGCATGGGAGCCCCTCGCCCGCCTAGTGCCTGCCCACACAGACATGGCCCACGGCCCTGTGAATCCACAGCTGTCCGGCCCACGCCCTGGCAGGTGGAGCTGCTCTGTCCCCAGAGGGAGACCGGCGGCCCCGGGGGGAGATGGGGCACTTGGGACCGGGGTGTGGAGGGTGACCTCAGCCCCAGGTCGTTGGCCCCCTCTGTCTTCCGGGGGCTCCGACTGGGCACCACGATCCTCCCACCCCACGCTTTACTTTGTCTCCTGCCACAGGCAAACCCCAGACCAACCGGAGTCCTAGGTGGGAGTCCCAGGTGGGCAGGGCCGCCCTCCTGGGGGTGGGGCTGGGAAGGTGCCCTGCTCCCCGCCGACAGTCCTACCTTCTGCCACAGGTTGGCCCCAGGGTCGTACACGTAGACCTTCTTGGTGTTGTCCCCGATGAGGTAGAGCGCCCCCTGCAGGGCGGCGCAGCGTGGTGAGGACAGGTACTTGGGCAGGAAAGGTGAGGCAATGACACTCCATACGTCTGTGGGGACACAGGGGCTCCTGGGAGGTGGCACTGGGACCGCCCTCGGCCACTTCCGCCGCCCTGGGTAGACTCCTCCAAGGAAAGGTCGTGAGACACAGGACACGGAAAGACTGTCCTCTGAGTGACCTTGGGCAGGTACCGCTCTGACCCTCAGTCTCCTCGTCTGACCCCGTGTGCAGTCTGAGGGCTCCGTCCCTCCCAACTGCCGCTTCTGGGAGGTGGAGGGGGCAGGTGTGGGGTCGATGGAGGAGCAAGTGCCCCCCAGAGTCCCATCCAGGGGAGCTTTCGGGGGCTCAGAGGACTTGGCCTGGCCCGTGCCCACCCCACCCTGACCAGGTCCACTTGGAGCCTGGGGCCTCCGCCTCATCTGTCTCCCCCAGGCTCAGGTCACCAGGTGGGCCCTGCAGGGACTCCAGGGTCCCTCGGGCATGTGGCACATGTCTTCTCATAGGTCCTTCCACCCACACTGTGAGGTGGGCCCGTGGGACAGAACTAGGTGAGACCCTGGTCAGGAAAGCCACTTCCCCAGCCAGGGGTCCAGCTGGGTCTCACCCCTAGCCCGGGCCTAGAACCTGGGCACGCAGACAAGTTACAGGCGGAGGAGGTGGTGGGCACCACTCAGGACCCGGGCTCTCCCACCACCTTCCCTGGACACTTTGCCTCAGTCCGTCCTCAGCCGCTCTGCTGAGGCCACGCCCCAGCAGGGATGGGCCGCGGGATGGGCCACAGCACTGTGACAGGGACCTCTGAACCCCTGAGCCCTCAGCCCCTGCCTTCCTCCACCGGCCCCTCCCTTTGTAAGAGGGCTGTGGTCACCTGCTTCTCACCCCCAGCCCCCAAACCCAGGGCCCCCACCCTCCCACGCGTTATGAGGGATCATAGCCCTGCCCAGGGGCCTGTGGCCGCCTGTCCTCCTGTCATCTGGCCCCACCCCCACCTCCTTAAGCAGGTCGGGGCTGTCTCCTGCAGGAGGAACCAGTGGTCCCTGGCCTTCTCCAGAGCCCTGTCCTCAGGTCCCCCAGGTCCCCTCCCCGGGCTCCCCGTGGCCCCGGGTGCCTGTGTACGCTGCGGGGGCGGGGTCCGGGAGTCCCTCCCTGGCCCCTCAGGCCCATACCCTGTGACCAGTTTGTAGCACGGCAGGGAGGTCCAGCAGGCCCTCCCCGGGCCCCCGGCCCCTTGGCCCCGCGCACCTGTGGCGGGGTTGTAGCACTGCAGGGCCAGTGCGTTGTACTTGCAGGCGCTGGAGCCAACCAGGTAGAGGCGGCCCTGGCAGCCGGCGGCTGAGAAGTTGCTGACGTACTTGAGGGCAGGGCTGACGGGTGTCCAGCTGTCGGTGTAGGGGTCGTAGCTCTCCACCTCCACCGCGTCCAGGGTGGTGCCTGCGGGGCAGAGACAGGGCTGCAGCGGCTGGGTATGGAGGCGCCCCAGGAAACGCGGGGCTGGTGTGCCCCAGCAGGGGAGGGGGACGGGGCCGCTCCTGCAGGCATTGAACTGGGTGCAGGCTCAGAGCTCAGACTGGAACCGTGTCCTGCACTGCCTGGCCCTTTGACCCTGCCAGGCTCCTGGGTCCCTCTGTCTTGTTGCTGCCCCCGGAGTCCAGAAGGGACAATAATGGGGCCTGTCTGCAGGATGGCACCTGGCTCGCCCTGGGCCCCGAGACCTTGGAAGGGCTTGGGACATGGTAGCCACCGAGAACAAGAGGCCAGCTGGTCCCCCAGCCACAGGCTGCCCTGGGGGCTGGCATGTCAGTGGTGGGTCTCCCCTCCCGGGGAGCTCCTGTCATAAGCACTGGGGTGCCCAGGGTGGGGGATAAGGCCGAGTAGAGGCCTTGTCTCAGGCTTAGGGGTGGAGAGAAAGTGACAGCAAAGGGGCCACAGTGGTCCCCTCACTGACCCTCCCCAGGGGGTGACTCTGCTGTCTCGAGGCACCTTTGGGGGACACACCCTTCCCTGTGTCGGGGCCTTGGCCAGAGGGTCAGCCTTACGCCGGGGCAACAGGCTGCAGAGCCCAGGCGCGGGGCTGGCTACCCACTAGCAGTGCTGCCCTGTGGGCTAGATGCGGCAGTCAGGCCTGTGGGAGGGTGGCCACGTGGCTGGATGGGGCAGCCAGCCCCAGGGGGGCTCACCGCCAATGGCGTAGATCTCGCCATTCAGAGCGGCGCTGGCGTGGTTGGTGCGGGCCTTCAGCATGGGCGCCACGGGCCTCCAGGCCGCCTCCTTCAGCGGGAAGCACCAGGCCTGTGTGGTTGACCAGGCGTCCGTCTTAGAGCCCCGCGAGCCACCTAGGGGAGAGATTCTGTCCTAGAGCACCTGCAGCCCACAGTGGCGCCACACAGTGCCCACGGCCTACACAGGGCAGGGGCTGCCGCCCACATGGGCAGAGTCCCACTGATGGGCCAGCGCGCTACACGAGCACTGAAATGGCGCCCCGTCCCAAGCTCCACACGGTCTCCCAGAGCACTGGAACCTCTTCTCGGCTCAGAACTACAGCCAAGGCCACTCATCTCCCACTGAGCTCATGGTGGCCCCCCGTGAGAAGGACAGCTGCCCCCCCAGCTTCCACAGGTGACGATGGTCTGACAGGCTCCAGGTCACTGCGTAGGTGTCCTCTCTGTCTGCACACAGCAGAGCAGGGCCACACAGTCGGCCTGGACCCCGGGTTAGCCTGAACCTGCCGGACAACGGAAGCTGAGCTGGACGTCAGAACCGCTCAGGGACACCTCCTTCACGTGGCGTCCAGGCCACACACAGTGCCCACCACACCTTAGACACACCTCTGCACACATGGGCCCCTTACAAGCCGGGGGCCTTGGCCAGTGAGGCTGGCTGTCCCCCGCCAGGCCATGACTTAGTTGTTGATCTGTGTCTCAGGAGACCCGTGTGACGGGTAGAGCTGCCTCATGGGGTCTGATCGACTGTCATCGTTACAGAAACCCATCTGCAGGCCTTGCCAAGGGGCGTTCCTGGCTGAGCTGGCGAGCCCCCCGTCTTTGGGTTGGCAGCTGAGCACAGACTGTTCGCTTTGGCCAGGGACCATCTCGGGGCTGCCAGGCTCTGGGCCAGGGTGAGACCGTGGCAGTACAGAGAGGGGGAGCCCTGCTCTCCAGGGGGCAGCCTTGCTGCATGACCTTGGCCAGCTCTCCCCAAAGCAAGGGGACAAGACCAGTGGTTCTAGCACTCCGTCAGCAGAAGCTGTTCCCCAACCAGATCTCACAGGAGCTCCAGCAGGGTGCCCCTCCAACCTGGTCCTTCTGGGGGACCCTTGGCTACTCCAGCAGAGTGACCCCCAACACTGGGTCTTTTCTGGGAGCCCCTGGGACACCGGATCTTTCCAGGAGCCCCTGAGACACCAGGTCCTCCCAGGGAGCCCCTGAGACACTAGATCCTCCTGGGGAGCCCCTGGGTGGGGAAGCACCCTGGGCTCAACTCACCCAGGTGCCGTGTCAGGCAGTGTGCATGGCACGGTTCCACGCACCTGCATGTGGCCCATGACTTTAAATCGTTTCAACATGGAAGGGTCTGGAAGACATGGCTCCCCCAACTGAAGGTGAGCAGGGAGCTTGGCTCCCGGGGTGGGTGCCCACCTGTGACGTAGATGTTGTTGTTCAGTGCCGCCAGTGAGAAGCCCCACTTGTGGTAGTCGGGGAAGTCGGGGAGCGCCAGCCACTGCTCTGGCAGGAGGGGAGAGAGGGCCATGAGGTGCTGGGCTCCTGCCGGGCCATGCCCTTGCTGCCTTCTCAGGGCTCACGGGCCTCTTGCTTCCAGAACGTGCCCTCCCTAGGCAGGACTCAGCAGCCGCAGTGCGGGGATGTGGAGTCGTGGGACACCAGCGGTCACAGGCCAGCATGGTGTCACCACTGCTCTGCCTCTCCACATGGACCCTGGGGCTTGGCACCCAGCTGGACGTGAGTGGCACCTGGACACACAGGATCGCAGCTCAGGCTTGGAGGCCCCACAGACCCTGGACCGCTTGGCCCTGGCATCAGGACCCACCTCTCCCAGGCAAGGAAGCTGGTTCATGGCCTGATCTCTGGGTG